ATACATACACACAAAAAAGGCTCCGGGGAGGCTCCGGGAGGGCCAGCAGCGGCCGCTGTCCCAATGCAGATGGGAAAGGAGAGACGGGGGAGTTGCTCTCCCAGCCCGAATCTTCAGCCTCACTGCACCCGGCATCACCGTGGGGCGGGCGCCGTCCTGTTGCTGGTACCCGTGGTCTTGGGGGAATATATTTTGTTTTGTTTTGTTTATTAATATTTATTCTTTTCCCGTATGTTTTCGAGTCAAACTTACAGAACCATRTACGATCAGCAGGATGGCAGTTGCTACACAAACTGCCCAGACGTCAGTCCCATTCAGAGCCCGAGTTTTTGCCGTCCTTAYAAACCTTGCCGGTATTTCTGTCATATTTGTGGACTTTGGGATACCTCATTCAAAAATATAATCGGCCAGCTGAAGAAATTGCTCTTTTTTTTTTGTTGTGTTGTTATTGTTAGGGTTTTTGTTGTTGTTGCTGTTGTTTAAAACCACTGGAACAGTGTGGATGTGACCATTTCATTTCAAGCAGGCTGGTGCAATTCTTGCCTTAGTTATTAATGACCTGCACAGGCTGAGTAGGGGACTGCAATAGGCGCATTGAAATGGGATGGAGATGTTTAAAATACCCCTGCTTGTGGCAGAAAKTCTTGTAAAATATTGTTATGATTATTCCTGCCTGGCATGTTTTAAGGCAGAGCARGGAAGAATTCTGCTCTGGGACTGTATCCTCCTCATGTAGCTGTTGTTCACAAGATTTTTTTCACTGCACTCTCTGAATCAGCTGATTTTTTATTTCTTTTTCATCATTTTGACATTACAAAAAAAAAAMCCCAAACCTATACCTTTCGGTGATGTGAGAGCTCTGTTTCTATGGGACCAGGCAYGAGAAACCTGCAATGTTTACAGCTGGTAGCAGAGGTGTGATCAAAACCCTCACTATACTGATGACAGTTCATGAGTATGAAAATGACTGACAAAAGAAAGCAGGTGAGATCAAAAGCTTGGTGGCTGCTTTTTAGGTAATAATGGTGAAGCTTAAATCACACCCCCATTGACAGAAAAGGGCTGTAAAGAACATCCTTCTCATGCAGGATCACATCTACCTTGGCCATGCCCGAAAAAACATTTTGAGCTTCACCAGTTCCAGTGGTAGAGTTGAGCTAGCTCGGCAGGCTGTTTTCATGTTTAAACACTGGGAGTTCTTTACTTGTTTTTCCGCCARACTTCTCATCAGAACATCCCTGCCTGAAAATGAAAACGATTTCTTTTTCCTGCTCTTGATGGCAGCATTTTCCACACTGTGAAGCCTTAGTCACTGCAGAGGACTCAGGGTTTCTCTTGACAGCTGATACCTACCACAATTCACAGGTCCTTTATTTATATTACTTTCCTCCAAATGCTCTCACCTATTTATATCCTTCTTAAAAGAAAAAGGCACAAAACAGACAATAGCCTGAATTTTCACTGCAGTTATTAAAACAGTTGTCTCTTGTGTCTTACCAACAGCACTCCTTTAAATCATACTCACACATCACTCATTTCCTTTTTTACATCATATGATTGGCTGATGCTCTGTTTCAGTTCCTCCAAAATTTCCAGGCATACTGCACTCYTTTTGAACTGGATAAATGCAGCCTAGACAGTTTTTTGTTCACCATTCTAGTGTATTTTCCTTTCCCTTCCATTYTGACTTTTAACTAATCCATGATTACTTGACTGATTTCAGATAATTTTTCCAGCTAATCAAGATTCCTTTGAATTTTATTCTAGCCTCAGGAACACTGGTAGATCTCCAGGGTACATTTTCTCATGCTGAGTRAGAAAAAAGTGCACACTCCCTTTCWGTTATTTGCCAAAAAAATACCAAGCAGCACTACATTGAATCCTTGCAAACCAATTTTATTATTAGGGAAAAAGGCATAAAGTAGAAAACAAGGGATTTAAAACTCTTTATGTATATAAGTATTTGATATAAGTATTTGGAAGACAAAACTCCTCAGATTTTATATCCTATTTTCAACTGGGTAAACTGGTTCCAAAGATTTAAGAAGATAGAAGCAGATGAATCTCTTGTTCTTTTAGAAAATCAATGTAAAACAATACAGAAAAGGATTTTTCACTGGCTTTTACWGCTAGAAATACAATTTTATCTCAGCTCTGTCTTCTCCCCAGAAACTGCAGTTTATACATGACAGTCCTGAAACAGCAAGTTTTACAGTATGAATTGAAAAGAACATTTTCCTGATCAGTAGCCTGAAAGATCCCAGATAAAGCCTCCAACAGGGGCTTCATCTAATGTTTAGTTTCAATAAGATTTATCTCGTACATGTTTTATCACAGGTCACTTTAAAAGATCAGTATTAACAATAATTTCCTTGTGTGTTGAGGTAATTTAATGTCATCTTACGTCTTTGATTCTCTGTCTCATAATAAGTGCCTGCATATCCAAGGAGATAAGAACTATATCCATTATCACATCTTAATATTATATTATTAAATATTATCATGCTTGCCCAGATCAATGTACATTTCCTATACAAAGTCTTTATCACATTTCTTCCACATGACCCTTCATAATCAACAGGTCTTTGATAAGCTAAGGAACCTGCCATCCTTTCAGGTTTAATCAATTCCCAAATGCATTTGTTCTATAATTTTTATATTAAACTGTCAGGCAGTTAGCAAGGATTATTTATACCCAAACTACCTTTTTTTTAACAATAAATAATCCTGAATCTAAACATTCCTTTTAGTTGTGTTGATGACAGTAACAGTAACAAGGAAATTGTTCTTATAAGAAGTCCAGTATCTCACAGAGCTGAAGCAGCATCACCAGCAGCAAAAAAAGGACATATTCACACTATTCCTTCCAATTTCTGTACCTGCAAGGGAGTRTGCAAACCCAGAGGAATCCTGGTTTCCAGTCCTGGAAGACTGGAAAMTGAAATTCCCCTCGAAGGCAGAGCCCAAAGCTTTCATCTCAAAATAGTGAAATAGAGTCAGCAATGATGTGCACAGGTCTGGCTCCAAATGAAATGTGGAGGGAACTGAACAACAGCAATAAAAAAGTCAAAAGGCAAGGATGCACCACAGGAAAAGCTGTTATCATCACTTTTGGGTCACTTTTAGCMTAACTATTAACAGCTGCAAAACCAAACATCAGAACACCTGACACCAGATTCAGGGTGAAGGATTTTAGCAGAATCCACCTCACCTGTCATCAGTTGAAGTTTCTCCTTCTGCCTACATCCCCACAGGAGCCCTTTGTTCTTCTCAGGATCTCTTTTTTTCCCCCTAAAATGTAGAAGAGTGTCTTTTAAATTATTTTATCATTCTAACATTGTTAAAAATATTGGCCTATTTATTCAAGAATCTCATGTTAGAATGCAATGAAATTCTTGTTCTTTCAAATMAAGAAATAAAAGTACTGTAAATTAAAAGTACTGTAAATTACGACCAATTTGCATTATCATTTTATTGTATGAAGATCTTA